AAAAAAAATGGAAAGATTAATCTATCGTTATCACATTATGAATCATCTGTGGCGAGCATAAATTTACAATCTTCTCGATCTATTTAATGATTTTTCATATCAATCTGATATAAATTGAAAATAAAATAAGAAAAGTAAAATTGTTTTATCCATAGTGTTGATTATCGACTCTTCTTACCTTCAGTATTTTTTAGCTTATGATGTTTTCATAGAAACATCATAGCCTTTTATAAGATTGATGTTTCTAAGATCAATTTATAATAATGCCAATATGATAATACACCGGTTATGTGAACTAAATTCGATCCACAAACCCCGTCGAGATAAAATTTGTGTCGGCGACAAAGTGAAGGGAGGTTTGTGTTGTCCGGCCGAAGCGGGCTACGCCAACGATATCAATCATCCTGCGCGACCAAGAGCGGGACTTTCACCGGCTGTTACGGCGGCCGTACGAAACTCTAACGGCGTACGCTACAAGACAGAAATTTTCGATTGGTCGACGACCATCGGAGCTCTTCCGTGCGATCACCTCGCGGCCGCGTCCACCCACGATCCATCATCGCGCTACCTTCGCCAAGGAGAAATCGCGCGGCGCTCAATGGTATCGTTGATCCGTTCCGCTCGGCGGGGATCGGTAGCGTGCTCGATCCGGCCGATCGAACGTCCGCTCGATCAAGACGATCCTCGCTCCGCGTACCGCCTACGCGCGATTGCCGCGATAGCGCGTGATGAAGAAATAAGCCGAGCGGAAGGAGACGGCGAGTCGCTGTATCATATGCCGACGACTTCTCGCGGATTATCGAGTGAATTCAGAAAACTTGCTCTCCTCCGTGAGTTCATTTCTACATTTCCAAATTTTAACGTGTTTCATTACTAATGGTATATAATTAAAAACTATATTTACTCGCAATGCCATACGATACAATGAATAATTGAGTCACATAATGCGATATTGCGTGCATAAATATTTTTCTAAGATTCCAATGTGAAGTACTTGGAAAGAATTAATAAGCATCCCGTAGATTTTGGTCGACAAACGATAGTTGAGAGCACGATGCAGGTTTAAAGCTACCACTGATGCGCTGCGCCATATTTCTCAGGGCGAATTTTATTGAGGAAGTGTAGAGGATCGGCGAAGGCGGAGGAACGACGGGAAGTATTGAATTCATCGGTACGCATTGTCGACAAGATATACGAAGCTGAGGGTTACGGGTTAAGTGGACCCTGTACCTCCGGTAAATAAGTCTCCCCGCGCTTGTACGTGTTTCGCACGGGCGTGCGAGCGAAGAAGAAGAAGAAGCGCGCGCGCTCGCCCGCGCCGCGCGCGGACATATGCATGCACGCGTGCGTTGTCTCTCGCGTGCCTCCGAGAGTGCACACCGGAACGGCCGACTGCGCTTTCTCAGGGCAATTTATAATCGTACGGATTCAATGCGAGCCGTGTGGGACGCCCGAGAACAAAGAGAGACGCCCTGTGGTAGTAGACGCGGATAGACGCGCGCGGCGCGACTCGCCCGCTCGCCGCTCTTCGAGAGAGAATCTCGTCGAGAGCGGCGGACGCCACCTTCGCCAGCGTGTCGTTGATTAGTCGCTTGAGTATGCGTACGAGTACTCGTTAGAGCGATTCTTCGGCAACCCGGACATTGATATCCTCCCTCGGGACTTCCCTCTTGTGCCGCGTGCCTCGATTCCAATTAAAGCTTTACGACCGGCGGGAATGTTGAACAACCGAAATGCGCGCTAGAGGTATGCGCACTTCGCGATTAATTTGTGTTTCCCGCGTAATTATTGTCTTTACAGATATTTGTACTACTGAAGGAAGACCGGTTTCTCTCGCGCTCGCTCGAGGCGCGACAGACAGTAAACCTCCGGCAAAGATTGTACTTGAGGTCCGCCGAGTCGAGCGGTTGACGTTCCTCGACGTTCGTTCCTTAATCCCTTCCGGTTCTACGACGTCAACTCCCGTTTCTTATATTTGACGCGCGTCAACTTGTCTGCTGCATAAGTAAACATTTGGAATACGTTTTCGATTTGTTCATCATAATTGAAATAAATTGAAAACACCGCGTGAAATATATTGTCGTAAGAATTCATTATTCAGTGTAGTTTGCGGTAAGACGATCTCCTGATACAATCCAGAGAAAGAGGATCTCCGTGATATTGTTTGTACGTAACTTACGTATACAAGAGCGAAGTACAAAGCGGCGGTTCTACGTGACCCACGACCTCGCCTCTAATGAGCGGCAAAGCTTACGGCTATTGTAAGAGAACCTCCTCCCGCGTCGGAGGCTTCTCTCCGTTTTCTTCGTGCTCTGCCCTCCACCCGAATCCTTTCTCCGGTCTACCCGCGAGACCGTGCTCTCGTACATTTAACTCGGGCATAATAAGACAGAAGAAAATTCAACGCTCCCGCATTTATCATACCCTACGTATGCTAATTTGCCCGCGCTACAAAAGGAGAATGTAAAGTATTTTCGTTCGAGAATTAACATGCGGTGTATCGTTTCTGATTTTAATACAATTAATGTTAATGTTAATTTTTATCATTTTTAGACTTCTAAATCAATTTAGAGTTTTTCGTCGTCTGAAAAACATTTAAAAAATTTTTACATTGCCAACTTTTTTGAATTTTGCGAGATTGAAAGGTCGAGTTAACAATAGGTTTTTTAAGGATGTTAACTATCTGTAACACTCTGTGTCCAGTTGAGAAAAAATATTCTTGCTTAATTTCCTCAATTTCCGAGTTCTGCCACAAATTAAGCGATGCGCGATAATGTCTCCAAATCTCGATGCAGCTCTTCGCGAGTCGCAACGATCGCGCGATTACCAGCAAAAGAAAGATCACTCTTCGGTGATTCCTCGAAGAGATCGGCACGAAAAAAGGAAGAAGCGCACACGGGAGAGGAGAGGCGCGTAGCACCGTTCTTGTTGAGCGAATCGATGGTCGCGGCGAAGGGGAACACCCTGTACATGCCGGCGACATTCCCGAAGTGCAGCGTGCACTTTTTCGCGGCTACCAGTGCAGCGCGGATAGCCTGTGACGAGCGAGCGAGTGACTCAGAGTCTTCGAGGTAGACGCAAGGGCGAAACAACATGCACGCGTGCTCTTCTTGAGATTTATTTGCCCGAATTTCGATGGTCGTTGTCGATGCCACGACTGCCGCCGCTTCCGAGGAATGCATTTTGCATTCGAGATACTTCGCCGAATATATTTTGCGGCGGATAAGAGATTCCCCTCGCGTGTTCGATCGTTGCTTTTCCGCCGCCGGATTTGTTCGCCTGCCGCGTTAAGAACTCTCAGCGTTTGAAATACTATTTCAAAGACGAGAAGAAATATTTGACAAACTTTTCCAAAATTTTGCGAAATTAATACATCCTGCATTTAAAAACAATTCACTCTTCAATTTGATAATCACTGTCGTTATCGGCCCACATTTTACTCACACTGCGATACCTACTATTTTAGCTAACACGACACAAACTCGTGTCATTAACCCGAAGGCGGATTGCGACGACACCCGATAAATCTATCCAGCGTACACGATCGAAGACGCAGATCTCGCCGATGATGTATGGCTGTCGTGGATTTCTCGAATCGGCGCTATTAGGCCATCGACTATCGCCGATGCTTTTTGTGGTCCTCACCGAGCGACGGAGGGCATCGCGCGGGGTGGTGTCCCGTAAACGACGGCGACTAGTATCGCGTTTAACTAATGTGACCGGTTAAGAACGTATTGATCGGAGGCCGAGGCTAGATTTATGTCGGCGAATGATTCACGGCCCGTGATTTACAGCGGATTGTCCGCTGCGCGCGCATACTGATTGAGCATTTATGCCCGGCACACTAATCATTTATTGGGTTAAGGTGAAATTCTCCTGCTTTTCCCTCTCCCGTGCGGATGAAGTCTGGATTTCTCTCCCTTTCTATCCCATTTCGTACGTTGGCGCTTTAATCTTCTCGACAGATGTGTCTGGAATATACTTATAAAAATAATTAACGAGATTGACATATCGAAATATTTTAAAACACATGTCGTGTCACATGTTTTGAAATCATTCGGCCCATAAACGATATTATAAATATCACACTTTATATGCTTTCAAATTTAAGCAGCTTCCTGATGAGAAGCCTCTTATTCGCGCGAGTTACGGAATTAAAGTTATGCACTCGATTCGTCGCTTTTACGTAAAACCGAAGACACGGCTGGTTTTAGAAAGCGCGTTCACCCTAACGGCGTTGCAAAAATCGCATTTCTGTCGCCGGCCGGGGTATTCGAAAGTCCCTTGGGAGTAATGCTTCTTGTTTTTCATCTCTCGCTCCTCGATTACGGAGGCAGGGCACGCGTCTCGCCCGTAGAATGTCGCCGTAACGAAGGGGCCGCCTCTCTCTCTCTCTCTCCCTCCCCCCTTTCCGCGAGTCCTCGCGAGGATGCGACGCGGTCCCCGAGTACACGTCGTCCTTTGCCTCACCAGCATCCCGCCGGGTGATCCCTCGATACCGGCGAACGTTTAAATTAGGCAGGGAATCCCGCGGAATGCGCGAAAGAAACGACGCGGCCGGCATTCCGCGAGGTTTTGATACGCCTTTGGGCGTATCGCGCTCGTCAGGCACTATTAGCCCTTATGCGGCAGGAATGACTCTTAAGGATCCGATCCGCGATCCTTCGCACCGCGGCTTTGCAACTTACGCGTTTTAAACCCTAATCTTCGCGCATGCAGCAACTTATTTGTGTGACAACGTCGGCACGATTAAACAATTACGCGAAAAAATAATCTGTCCAAGTTTTAAAGAATATAACTATTTTATTGGATCAGTTTTGCAGATGTTATCTTTAAAGGATTTAATTTCTGTAATCAATTAGATTTTTGATAATAGACAGTGCGTTATTCTTGAATGCCAATTCACAGAATGAATAATGACGAAGACTTGAGAATATTTGGTTGAAAAATATTTATTATGCTTTTCATTAAATTAACCTTTTGTATTTTTTCGATTGCAGAGTCTGGCCACAGGTTGGACAGCGGCTCCCCGTTTTGGAGGATTCAACTCGATCAAGACCTTCTGGATACCATCAGCGCGATCTATCCGGAGTGGTTTAAGGTAAGCCTATTTACTCCTCCTCCGCGTTATCGGAATCGGCGGCTGGATACAGCCGGCCACCTTCCGGCGTGCCCGTAGAACGAACACGAGATAACGAGATACGTGCATCGTGCAGGATTACACTAACAGCCGAGCAGCGTCGACATCGTCCTCCACGTCTCCGAGCGCTTCCGGCGCGCAGTCCTGCAACGAGAGCGCCGCCGTGGTCGTCGTCAGCGCAGAGCGCGGTGGCGAGCACAAGGTCGCCAAAGGCGACTCCAAGTCGAAGTCTAAGGCAAAAAAGGCGGACAGCTACAAGGATAAGGATCGTGATAGGAAGGAGCCTAGGCGCGACGCCAAGGACGAAAGGTGAGATAATTTGCATGTCGCGTCGTATGTAGATTATCCGCGTGGCAGAAAAAGAAGAGAAACCACACGGCGGGAGACTCGAGTTATATATCGGCGAATATTAATGAAACCTCATGAAACAGCGAAATGAGGAGAGTATTCGAGTCGCGTTATCACTTTCTACCGACTTCCACGCGCGTATAACCGGTAACGCGGCGCGCGCCGTATAAATAGAAGAAGACAAAGTATATTCTCGATCGCACGCTCGGCGTTATCGCGATCGAAAAATAGACGCGTCGTCGCGCTCGACACCTGCCTTAATTATTTTAACAAGCTGCGCGGGCTCCTCCCCAACATTTTGTCACGCATCGCCCGCATCATTATCTCGGGAGACATTATTTCTATTAATCTACTACGCGCGTCGCATTTGCAGCGATTGCAGCGCGATGTGGAGCACCGGCCTTGTAAAATTGCGGTCGCAATCAGGAGAAGTAGCGGTTTATTGCACGGGAGCCTTTTTCCTGAAATCTGACGACATAAAATAAACTCGATTCGATAAATATTCGAGGTGTAAAATATACGAAATTATAATATTTAATAATAGTGAAAAACAATATTTTTATATTTAAATGTTATTAATTACGTGATATTTGTTTTTTGTTACAATAATGCTTGATTTTAAATAATAAAAAAATTAGAATTTGTTTGACTCCAAATTTTCGCGGCATAATTTTTAGATGGAAAGCACCGATATTAGTTCGCGTACGCCTATAAGCTTCCGAGTGCCTTAATCTGCCGCTGAATTGCGCGACTAGGGCCGCGCCGAGCGGGCGATTAACCCGCAATTTAGTATCAGCACCGCGTGTAATCGTTACGCGAGAATATAAACGCTCCTAACGACCGGCTTCCTATCTCCAGCTGTGACGAGTAATCTTTTCTCGGAACTTTCCCTTCAGGATTTTAAACTACCTCGCTCGATCGTTTGGCTCAATGCTTTAAAATCCTTAATCGACTCGCCACTTTCCTACTCACGGATCTCGCCGAGTGAGCACAATTTTCTCTGAACTTTTCGCAGGATAAGTGCGAAGATATCAAATTTTTGCGTGACATTTTGCTCGCGACAAACGCATCATAGATCATCGCTGGACGAAACTGTCATAAACTTACCATCGTCGAGCCCATTGAGATAATGTTTTCACCCTTCAACGACTAAAATGATCTTACCCTTTCATCGAAAAAGGAACGCGACTCGATATTCTCTCTATTATATGCAGATTATTCGCCGAGATTATTTTACGTCACATGTGATTTACACGATACTTGCATTATATAGCAACGATATAGCAGTAGAAAACATGTACGGTTTTTTATAAATCCGATAAGTATCAGAAATTTTAAGCGTTGACATATTAAAGTTTACATTGAAGCATCAATTTTCTGCAATTTGTAATACAAAGTCTTTCCACATATAATAGTGCAAATTTTTGATAATAAGGCATGCAATATTAGCAGACATTTTTAATTTATTTAAAATTATATGTAGACTCTCGGATACATAATCGAGATATAAATTTTCGATATAAATACAACTTGACCGTCAGATATTTCTTGCCGTGTGAAGATTCGCCTCGCGCTCAAAGAGAAGGAAAGAGCGGCCTTTTCGACGTTTTCATTAGAAAACGTCGTCCCATTGAGTACCGATTGATCTGTCATTCCATCATTCGCGGCAAAAACACGCCTGGAACGACGAAGGACCCGAGGTCCGATTGACACTCGGGGCTTCAATCGGTCTCTCTTCGAGCCGACGCGATGCAACGCGGCGACGTATGAAAGATTAATTCACAAAACGGCGGCGTTTTGCTTGTTTTGGTCCGTCCTTCGGGCCTGCAGGGACGCTGGAAGCGGTAAGAAAGGGACGAAGCTCTCGCCGCAGCAGGATAAAGCAGCGGCGAACGCGACAGGAAGGAAGACCGCGGGTGTTGTCCCAGGATCGGGATCGGAGATGGCCGAGGGCAATCAATCGCCGCCGAAGGCGGAGGTCGACGATTCGCCTCTCCAGCACGCCATGGACCGCAACAAGGAATGTGAGTACACATCTCTTATTCATGTCAAATTTATGTCGAGATTTAATTTTAGCGTAAAAAAAGAGTAATCGTGAACTTACAAACTCTATTGAGAGTCAAAAATGAAGTCGTTACTTGTGTTGGCCGAATCTTAATGTAATTTTTTGGTAACGCGCGTTTAAATATTTTTTAACAATTTTTCCTCTGAATATATCTAGTTTTTATCAAATTCTTACTTTTATAATTCAGTTTCAACGTTTGACAAAACTTTTAATTTCTATTAATATTTTGCACAAGATATTTTTGAAATATCTTGTTAGGATTAAAATTCACCCGTCAATGCTCGGCTTCGTTTAGTTCACATCACTCTGTCTCCATTTTTCGCAGCGCGTTTATTTACTCTGTCATAGAAACGGAAACGTCATCTCCCGACATCCGGGGTAAACGATGCATAAAGATCTAACGGTTTCTTCGCGCGGCGATCGCTTCCGATCGATTAATTATGTGCGGGGGGAATTTATTATTATTATGCAATGCAGTCCGAGCTGCTTATGCGCTAGCATGTTGTATGCACCTCACAGCATGCGTCGTTGCAGTTACATATCCCGTAATGCTACATGGTGCGAAACGAGCATCCTCTAGAAGGCGCCTGTAATCGAAGAAAGTGCTGAGAAGGGCTGCCTTTAACAATCGCGGGCAGCTCGCCATTACGCCCCACGGCGACTGTAATCATCCGCTCGTTATTCGGCGCCGATCCGCGAGCACCGCTCGATTATCGATTTGGATTCCGGCGATTTTTTATCCAATAAAAAAGTGCGCGCCGCGGCACGGAGCTTTTATCACCGCGCAAAATGCAGCTCTCTCCAGCCCATTCACTCATTTCCGCTATAACTGCCGGCATCAGCCGATCGTTCCTCAAGTTAGATCTCCGTTTTGTATTCAGGACGCGACTTCCCACGGATAAAATAGTGATATCGATGACACTAGCATTGCCGTAGCGTTCAGTATTACTTCTTATCAGTTTTATAACGGCAAACATACGATAATTGAAAATTTCTCACTTTTATTATTACAAACAACAAATGCAGCATTTAATTAATTTATTTCCGTCTCAAGATTGTGTCTTGCAAAGTTTTACAAATCTTGAATCTTCTTCAGTTTTTAAATACTATCAGTCTGTGTGTAAAATAAGATTGAGTCCGAGAGATTCTTAGTGTGTGCCGAATAAAAGAAAATGATTTCAATAATTTCGTCCGCAGACAAGCGTGTAAGTATCGATGCCGCTTTCAAAACTTTGCGGCTGTTTCTTTCGCGGTGAATTGAACGCGTGCCAAGCTTTTTTCGTTGACGAAATTCCGCGGTATATATATACATCGATTCGCCGTGGTCAAGTCCTCATTAAAACCATGGTGCTATCGTGCGTGCGCATACTCTTCAGAACGTTACTTTGTCACGTTCATTGGTCGCCTTTTTCTGTAATTACTTCTTGCCATTGGATGCTCTCGAAGCGCTCTCCCTTCACAGCCCGTGCGAAGGACGCGCAACGAGAGCGCACACCGTCGACAATACCTTTTTATGGACGGCCGTGGAAATCAATAATGACATCTTATATCTTTCTCATTAAAATTTCAAAAGGCATCTCAAAGCCGTTAAAGAATAGGTGAAAAATTAGGATGTCCACAAAAAACTTGAATGCCAAGCACTTTAATGGATTAATAGATTAATAACGAGTCGCTCTTGTTTTGTTCAAAAAAATTACGAAACAATTTTCATAAATCTGATAGACAGGCGATAAATTCCTTTAGAATGTTCCAACGTTATTATCGAGTCTTTTGGAACATTGGCGGGTAAATTTCGACAGATACCTTGCTCGATCACCTGTGCATGTATTTAAATGCGTATGTGTGCGGCGGTCTACGGGAAAGAGACAGTGCGGGCATTCGTGCAGACAGGTAGGTGCAGATTCGCGTGTGAGGGCCGTGTATATATGTGCACACGAGAGGCAGGAGGCGTGCCTATTTATAACGGTGATATCATCGCCGATTACCTACGCTTTCGCGTGGACAATCGTAAATTCTCGCAGCAGAAGGGTGCGGGCCGATTTGAGGCTTCAGTAAATATCCTTCGCAATCTTTCTGATTTCTTTCTTGCTTCTCTCTTTGTTTTCCTGTCATTATTTTTCTACTCCTTTGACAAATGCGAAGTTTTCTAAAAAGATACAAGATATATAATTAATAATCATAGACAGAATTTGAAAATTTCTCGAATTTTTGTACCCTGTCTGACTCGACACGATTTTTTCCACTGATTTTTACAAACTATCAAAGATACGTCCGATTTTCCGATTGCGTCTCTATCTTATGATGCTATAAAGTGATGTAATGAATTTCTTAGTGCACATTCGCGAGTATATCGCGCAGTTGAGATACGAAAGTACGGTCGCCGATTACACCGAGCTAATTATCGTCGGCGTATCTCGTCCTAATACATTCGTTATACTGGCGCGCAAACTTGCACGCTCGTTTCGTAATGGAAAATTATGTCAGAATTATGCGCCGTGTGCTCGAAGGGGCCTCTCCTTTCTATCCTATAAAACCAATAACCTCGAGTAGCGCTGCGCTTAATGAGACATCGTCATTAATGAGACGTCCTACGCGACAAGCCCGTATGGTCATTACAAAAATTTCGCGTTTTTTTAGTGAACAACAACAGCGCTGAATTTGCAAATAAGCGATCAGTTAGAGTTTGCTAAAAGTCTTCATTAGATCTATAATCACTTGGTTTCTTACTTTTAATTATATGACCCGTTATTTGGCAAAACATAATTTATTTTATTTGATGAATAATTATAAATAAATTATTATGTATTCAAAATTCCAAGATTATTAAATCTTTATAATATCGTTTCACTTAAGGGCCTCTTTCAAAACTTCTTAAATCTACTACTAAATAACGATGTGGAAAGTGAATGCGCGGGATATTTTCACCGTGAAACGAATCGCGTGGAAACGAATTTCATGCTGAGCACTAATTGGCGTCCGCGACAAAGTATACCAGAGATCGGGAATTTCGTAATTAGGAGGTGGCTCCAGCTTCCTCTTCCCGTAAACTCGCATCGCGATGACGGAAGCTCGCGCCGATCGTTACGCTTATCGGAATATCTGTGCGCGATACGAACGACAAATATATTTCGAGTGACCGTCTTAGGAAAGTTTCACTCGTATTCGGTCTCGCTTCTTACCTTTCGTACCGCTACCGCGACCTTCGTACCGTTGCATTTATTAAGGCGGCGTATTATACGATCGAGGCGGGTGCTAGTTAGTATAGAGAAGAAAAAATACGTTGTTAAGATAAGACCTCGTGTAACACGACGATTTACGGCAACAGCTGTAGAGATAATTTTATACCTCTAACAGATATTTAAATATAAATTTGTTACTCCGATTTGCGATATCTTTTCTCGAATGAATATTAGATGAGAATTAAACAGAGCGATTGGACTTAAATATACGCTCAAAATGTAGACTATAATACTCGAGCACGACCGGGCATGTCAGCGGGATTTCTTTGTATAAATTTAACAAGATAGATTTGTGGCATTGTCGTCACATATATCTCGCACATATCCTTGATTCCGGAAAGTGCTTTAAGATCAAGAAAAACCAATTCGGTCAGCACGTATTTGTCGTTCGTGTTTTTTCCTCTAAACGTCCAAAAGCGTGTATTATCGGCGAGTCAACTTGATTTGCGAGTGCGCGACGTGCCTTTACCGGATTTAATTATATGATCGTTCGTTGGTGTTCGAAAAGTCCACCGGCATGATGGCCAATTACGCGACTGCGAAAACCGCGTTTTTCTTCGCGCCGCTGCACATAAAGGCACGCAGTCGCCTAATTTTCGAGGGCGCTCGCGTACGACGACGACGATTGTGAGATTAATTAAATGAAAAGCAAGATCATAACTTTCGACTTTTGCCGGGCCGTAAAAGCGGGCTTTTACGGTTTTGCCGAGAACCGATCCTGAAAACAGGCGCATTGCCGAAGTTAACCCACTTTGCGCCTGCAACCCTCCGTGAATCGTTTTATCTGCGAATTCTTGTCACGAAGGAAAAAACATAAGATATATTTTTTAAATATTTTACTAATTATCACTTTTTATTTAAGAATTTTAATAACAATTTTACCCTTAATTGTCTCATACACCTTTTCTTCTAATTTGTGTCACGATTAATATTTAGGAGATTTTCCTAAAGAAAAAATAAAGTGGTTTTTTATTTTTTATTAAAATATATAATTATTTTATATTAAATATTTCGAGGCTATATTTTAGTTATTTTATAATAAAAAAAGAAACACAAAGGCAAAATTTTAGATGTTTGATTTTTGTCAGGTACAGACCTTTCCCAATACGACGAGATCTCGCATTTCGACTGTAAGCGCGCGCGAAGGATCGATCTCCGGCGTCATACTTATAAATAAATCGCGCTTTATCGTTGCATATTCATACACGCACCGCAGTGCCCCGGGTTCTCGTGGGCGAACCGGATCGCGATATGTCGAATCAGAGCCGTTCGTGGCCAGAAAGTATCGCATTGAAATCGGCGAGTATGCCGCTCTGCACGGCGTAAAAATCGGCGCGCGTGCGTGCGCGAGAAAAAAAAGGGGCACACGCTCGATGGTTGCGCCGCACGACCTACGCAAGTAACACGCTGTTTTATAACACCGCGCTGCTTGGCCACGTGCCTTTGAATGATCGAAACGATTACTTCCCCTCCGAAGCACACGCCGTGATTTTATGTCTTTTTAATGGATATAAAAATATAATGTAACGGCATATTTACAACGAAAACGCAAGCCAAGTTTCACCATGTAGAACGATCGTCATATATGTTTATTGCACACGAAGAATAATATTTTATTTATGAATGTATGAATGGGTATAAAAATTTTAAAAATAAAATACAAACTTAAGGTTTTCAGCCAATATTAATGTTAATTAATGTATTTTTTTTTTATAAAATA